TGATTTTTTCCAACGCTTTATCTTCCTTTTTATCAATTTCGTTAAGGAATGAATCTTTTATATCATAGCATATGAGAGCAAGCTTGTCTTTAACATTCCTAATGTGAACTGGGTTCCCGTTCATAGCTAAGAGTGCATCCAGACGTGTTTTAAGACGTGCTTTCTTCCGTCTTAATGCATTGACATGCTTTGGGCGACCTGACGGGACTCTCTTCTGGGGGACACATGACTGGCAAATCTGAAACAAGGTATCCGTAAAGAGTGCGGGGAATTCTTCAAATGAGCAAAGATTTCGCATCGTAGGCCACTCCACTTCATCCAGTTTCTGTTTCAGAACTTCATAGTCTGCTTTGCTGAAATCTAATGATCTGAAGGAGTTCTCATCAAACTTTGGAATAGCTGATTCTTCAGAACTAAGCGGGTTCCATGCAAACATGATATCGATCAGGTTGTGATCAGATAGTTCTGTCTTCTCAGAAACGATATTAGTGATAAGTCTATCGTTATTAGTCAAGAATATGTCTAGAACATTATTACCTCTAGTTGGGCATGTGACGTATTGACTTAAGAAATGTTCTGACATGAATGACAAAAGGGCACGGCATGATTTGTGCATCTCGGAAAATCCGTCTGATTTCAAAGTTGAAGTTTCCCAGTTAATTGCAGGTAAGTTACAGTCCCCCGTTATGTTATGATCAAAACTGTCGTCATTGACCTGTTGTATACAATTTGACACAAACTTCAGGAGTGCGGTAAAACTTTCCACATGGGCATTTGGTGGTCTATAAACCACGACGTAGCACGTCTTGATGGTGTCAAAACGACAGAAAATTCCTTCGCAAATACCATCATCAAAGGTGTGGCATTCACTAACAGGAATGTTCATATGGGAGTAGAGGAGCACACCTCCACCCACTCTAGCATCTCGGTCCGAGCGGGAAACCACATATCCAGGCACGTGTAATTGTGCATCGGATATATAAGACTTAAGCCAAGTCTCGGTGAGTGCAATAAAAGGCAGAGAGTGGTTTTTTGACTTTTCTTCTTGAACGAAGGAAATAATTTCAGGAACTTTCCACTTGCTTGTACTGTTTGCACTCGGGTTCATTGACTGCACATTTAGGAGCATGCAGGAGGAATGAAGGGCATGGTTGGAGGCATGTTGGGTGGTCTCTGCGACAGAAGGTACGCTTGTTGAAACTGCGGCTGGTGCATGTGATGATACTGGTTTAGTGCCGCTCCTGTTGGAGGTGGGAGAGCATATCTCGACATTTGTTGCATCTGCTGCTGTTGGTAAAGAGTATTGACCAGGCCGGATCGGATGTCTGCAATCTCCCGAAGGAAGTTTGACTGCATTGTCTCGACCAGCCCTCTCAACTCTAAAAAATGATCCTTAGAATCATTTGGGACTGAATCTGAACGCTCGGGGCTGGGACGCTTCTCATTCGCGTTTGTACTCCTAGCCTCTTTTCGTCTGGTTCCCTTCAGATGAATAAACGTGCATTCAAGGTTGGTGCAAAGTTTATTCTTGACTGAGTATTTGCACAATACTGGGTGGACGAGCTGGCACCTAGCTCCTTTCTTACAACCACCCTTGTTTTGGTTGCCAAAGCTGCAAAATCTAGGGCAATATCTGGGATGATTGAACTCACATGGACTGCCGTCTACAAGCTTGTTGCCTTTCAGGCCATGAGGACATTTTCCCTTCTTGTATTGCGGACAAACATTTTGATCCTTAGCCACTATTTCAAGTTTATCTTGAAGTTTGGATTGAAAGTCTTCGTCGAGAGAATTGTGCTGATCAATATGAGTTGTCTGACTATTCTCCTCAAACTCAGGTTCAACAACACTTTGATTGCAAGACTGATGAGTAGGGGAGGAGGTCTGACTTTTAAGCTCACTCATAATCCTGGATAGTGTGGGATCAGGTTTGGTGACGCTGTTATGTCTTGATTTAGACTTTCTGGGTTTGAGGGGGTTATGTGTAGCTTTACAGTCCTTACACATCCACACGTGCCCAGATAGGAGACTGATTATAGATGCTTCCGACATACATTTGTGGAAAGTTTTGACATTCTCGCAGTTGTGAGAACCCCGGAAGCATGTGTAGCAAACAAATAAGGGTGGCTCTTCAGCATCCAATTCGACAACATATGATTCGTTGCAGTCACCGCAGGAAGTTGGAAGAAGTGAAGAGATACCAAATATGATGCGGTATACCAATGACTCCTTGGTGTACAGTTTATTGTCATCTTCGTCTGCAAGGTTAATACTGAGAAACTCTGCACATGGCTCCAGAATATCGAGATTGAACTGATTCAGTTGTTTGTAGTTGACGGTACGCTTAGCAAATGGATCAAATGCAGTGAGGACACGTTTAACTAGTACATTAGACTCTGCCCGGAGAAGCAGGCCCCCAATCGCAGTTTTAATCTGATTCTCTGTTTCCATATTGACAAAAATTGACAGTTGACACGTCTTATTCTTCAAATGTACACGTCTTATTCTTCAAATGTACTCGATAATATGTACTATTTCCAATATGTACACAAACCGCCACAGTATGCAGCAGTATCGAGCTGATAAGCTTTTAAAGATAAGGGAGACAAAAAATAGCAACGTATTAAACGTATTAAACGAAAAGTTTTTACATAATACATATTGCAACATAATCATTCATTTACAAATTAATTGCAAGGGGTTTTATGCAATTGCGAGGGTTCAATTGATATTCCCCCAAAGAAGAATAATCACTTAATCAATAAAAAGCAAAGATACTATTTATATCAGAAGACTCAACAACTTTCCGAAACATTTGTGTACACCTTCGCTCTTCACAAATAAATTTATAATGAAAATTCTGACAAAGCCAAAACTGTAAATGAAGAGAAGAAACGATCGAAGTACTTGATGATCTACGGTTGCCATGAAAGTGATAAAGAAGCCGATTTTGAGCTCAACAAAGTTGTCAAGGACATACTTTACGGAACTGACGCTTTCCCCGTGCTCCGCACTGGTGAGGTCTACAGAATCGGAAGGAAGGAACCGGGTAAGAATAGGCCTATCAAGGTCGAATTTGGTTGTGCCAGTGAGGTAGACTTGATTTTGATGCGTGCACGAAACCTCAGAGACAGTGACTCTTTCAAACATGTTTATTTGGGACCGGACAGAACCAAAGAGGAACAGCGTGCGCATAGTAAACTTGTTAAGGAGATGAAACAGATGATCCAGAAAGACTCAAATAAACATTATTTCATACGCGACAGAAAGATCTGCACGGCTGATAAAACCTTATCATCTCAAACGTCCCAAAGCTCCTGATAAGAGTTAATGTATGATGTATGTTGAGTGTTATTTGGTGCTGACTGGAGTTGCCGTGTGTAGATTTACCACTTTTTACAATTAATAAATGAACCGCGTTGAAAGCTTATTTAGTGTGTTTTTTTCAGTGCTGAGACTGGTAAATGTTAAAGTAACAGAACCTGAACTGCAACTCATATTTTTATGCTATTTTCTAGTTACGTCGACACACAATGCTAAATAGTTTTCGGAGGCTTGCTAGAATTTTATTCTCTATGTTTCTCTATAATTTTATATTGTATGTTTTTTATATTTCGGTACAGACCAGCGCCCATTGGGCGTATTCAATCAATCAACACACAGCTGGAGGTAGGCAGTGAAATCTCTAGTTTTACTATAAGACAATTTGCACCCCTACTGAGTCTACAATTACTTACAGTTGTTGACAACAACTTAATTTAACGTCACGATTCTGATAAAACATCATACTTCACTAAACTTAAAACTAGTAAGTAAAATTTAATTCACTAACGCTAAAAACGAAGGTCCCCAATGTTTTGCTGTAAATAAATCAATCGTGTTCAGTGTATTGAATAATCTAGAATTGCGTCAATCATCAGAAATGTTGACCAGCAACCACTAAATGATTATATTATATCAAACATTTCATCTTAACGTCATGTTTAAAACCTTTTTTCCCCGAAAATCATGCCAGTAGATGAATTAATGGAGCGGGGGGAATGCAACGTCAATTAATGTCAATTAATGTCAATTAATGTCAATTAATGTCAATTAATGTCAATTAATGTCAATGTCAGTTTTGCAAAATTTTGGAATACTGACATTAATTGACACGATATTTTTCGACCAGAGATTATGTAGTTCTACCATATTTTTAGCACTTTAGAACGTTTATATCATCAATTTATTCACTACTATCACATATGGAAATGTGAAATGTGAAAAAAATTCAGATCATTAAACAATAAAACTAAAATAATACGGTTTCCCGAAATTTAATTTTCTTAAATGGGCGTGGCCATCCAAGGGCGTGGTTCTCAACATCATCAGAACTTAAAACCCACATTAAACGAAATGCCTTCATGACATTTATATTTGAATAACGAATCTTAAACAGCTAACATTACTCCTTCATACTAAAAAAGCCGATTCTAGATATTTTACCTGTATAAGAAACCAATAAAATATGGGCGTGGCCGGTGGGACCGAAGATGGAAGAGTTGGAAGCTGAAATTTTTTTTGGTGGTCTTTAAACCTAAGGATTAACAGATAAGAACATACTCATAATTATTCAAGGACATTTTGTTTTTTTGAACCGGTCTAACTTACATAGACGTGAATATCTTGAATATTTATCGAATAATGATAATCTCAAATTTCAAGACATATTAATGTCAATTAATGTCAATTAATGTCAATTAATGTCAATTAATGTCAATTAATGTCAATTAATGTCAATTAATGTCAATTAATGTCAATGTCAGTTTGGGGTTTTTATGGAATACTGACATTAATTGACGTTGCATTCCCCCCAATGGAGCTACAGCTTGGAAAATCATTACAATTCATTTTCAAATAAAAATCAATTTTTTACTTTTTTCCACAAAGGTATCACCATCATGAACGGGTTATCTTCAGAAGGTCAAGCAAAAAACGTACCCCAACATTCCCTAACAATACTGGAATCCCCAAGCAGCACAACAAGGCCCATATTACAGTAGGAAATAATGAGAACAGTCCCCTAATCCTGATGAGGATGGTCCTCCTGAGGAGCAGCCTCCTGTTCTGGTTGTTCCCTGACATCCTCCCCCCAGTTATAGCCCCCTGGCCGGGTATCATCAGGCACCTCCCCGTACTCATCTTCTCCTTCGTCAAACAGGAGCTTCAGGAGCCGGGGTGTCTTCAGGATCTTACATCCTCCCTGAGCAAGGCGAGATGTTATGACTTGATGCAAATTTATAAATTATAATGTCAGGTTAATATCGCATTATATAATAGTTTATTAGTCTGTTCTGATAGGATTGAATTGGAATCCAAATGCACTACACATTCTTATCTGTAAGATGACTTCTAGATTTAAAAGTTTTTGAATCTAAAACCTTACTTTCCCGACTTTAATTTAATTTTTAGAAAGAATTCAATCAGTAACTAATTCCGTCGATTATAAAAACATAATACATACCTCAATGTTAGGAAGCACATCCTCTAAGTAGAAATAAACGTGTCCTACAGCGATACCCATGAGATCAACTATAACTGAGTTATCAAGAAGTAATGAAAATCCAAACAAAACCTGAGATTACAATGATATGACTTTTCAATGCAAATGATTAAGTGTTGAGGATGTAAAACTGCACCAAATCTTAAAGCATTTTCGATCACACAAAATTCGGTTTAAGTAAATGATTGTAATAAAAAGGATAAATTTGAATCAGTTATCAAACAAAAAAACAAAGTGCTTACCCATGGTAAATAAGGAGCATTAAAGTTGAGCATTCCAAAGAAATTCATCCTAATGTAAGGATTTCTCTTGGCCCAGATGTACACGAGCATGATGGTAAAGGCTTGCCCCAAAAACACTAAGTTCACGAAACATGCGCATATCGTCATCAGAAAACCACCAAAAACAAACATCATTATAAAGTCGGCTGAAATGAGAAAATGTGAATGCGGATAGAATTGTCAATTGAGCCAGTAACTGAAGATCATCAGAGAAGATTGTTGCTATAAAAAGATTGATAAGGCTACTTTCAAGTGATGAATATGACGATTATCCTACTATCACTATCTTACTACCTTACTCGGGATTATTATAACCGGGATAAAGTGGTGGGTTTTGGAAGATTCCGCCATATTTTTCCCGGTCAAAAATTTTACCAGTCATAAAAAAACCCGCCGACTCAGATTATGGGGTTCCAAGGGGGTGGTGATCATCATATTTTACCTGAAGTCTCATATGTGCTAGAGAAGACTTTTGAAGCAGTGGATGGAGGGCTGTAACTTTATTGGCGGTTGCTACCATAATTTCGTTATAAAAATCACAATTTGGTTATAGAAATCAGATTTCAGGGTGGACCGTGATTCTCACTTTTCTTGCCCATGAAGTGAGTAAACTGTGCCACTATTTCATGGTCCACGGTGGATTGATTACTGGAGCAGTTGAAGATGCAAAGCCAAGACGTTCCCCAATACCAAGCGGTGGGCAGGAAATTAAGCTCCGGCTGACCTTCAGAGCAGTAGCCCCATTAGCGGACAAAATTAAAGTCTTGATAAGACAACAATAGGGGGGGGGGAGCCAAGTAGATATTTGTAGATATTTGTAGATTAATGTAGAATGGATAATCCACGAAAAAAGTGGATGACATTCTACAAATTTATACATTTATCTCCAAAAATTCAGTAGAATTTCTGGGCACATAATTGAGATATACATTTTTTGTAGATAAATGTAGATATTTGTAGATTATTGTAATGGATAATTCACGAAAAAAGTGGATGACATTATCCAAATATCTACAAAAATCTACTTGGCTCCCCCCCCCCCCCCCCCCCCCCCCGAACAATACAACTTCGAATTTGACGGTCAGCAGCAGGGGGATATCAATAATGATAATGGAGGGGACATTAGCGATAATGAGAATGAGAATACGCTTTAATGAAGATTTGACTTATTATTGCTATAGATTTATTTTCCTTTAAATACTAGACGTGTCTTTTTTTCTATTTCTGAGTAATATCAGTAACTGTAAATTGAAATAACTTCTTTAACAAGTAACAAAAACAGAAATTTCGGTTGAAAATTTGTTGACCTCTGAAAAAATCTTGAAAGGTCGGCCACCGGTAAATACATGACCGGGATAACTTGGCGGGTTTTGGGAAATTCCGCCATATTTTTCCCGGTTATTAATTTTCCCAGTCATAAATTAACCCGCTATAATATTCCCGAGTAAGGTAGATGTAAAGAACTTTAGAATATGTTGAATATCTTACCAGTTCTCCCTCTGAAAGAGCCTTCTTCCAACATTCGACAGTACCGATATGTAAATATCATGTTAAATACAAAGTTAAAACCGATGGTTCCGAAGAATGTGAAGTTGGTGAAGAGTCTCCAGATCTGATATTTCCTCCAGATCAGGGACTGATTAAAATATAACTGCGAAAAGAGGATTATTAATGTTTTCGTTGATATTGATGATGTAATTTTTCTGAGTTACAAATTCTATTGATAATAATGACGGACCGATTATAAACCTATTATTAATGATAAAATTCGAAATTAAACATCACAATTGAAATGTAAGCTCACCTGAAAGGGTGAAAGGATGTCAAGCTGAACAGCGATAGTGGTCAGTACACACGCTGTGGCGTAAGTTCGTGTAACCGGCGGAACAGCCATGTACTCCTGGTGGAATGTCTGAGCCATCGTCCCAGCTGATTTGAGATTTTGACTGTTAAACTCTTTAATGTTTATAGTAATTTGTAAATGTAGAATGTAGATGGAGCTTATTTAGCGTATACAATAGTCATTTATTTTTTATTTTTAAGAATATCAGAATACTTGTTGATTTCTAATTCAAGCCTTGAAAATATTAAAAGTTAGTAGCATGTGATATATTATTTTGTCATGAGACAATGACACAACTTATGTGTCACGAGTGAAACACAATGTTACGTACAAAATACTGACTTTTAGTTATACTATTAAATATTATAATACAATATTCAATTTGTTATAAATACATACTGTAGTTGTTACTTTATAATACACATGTAGTAAATAAAACTATTTTACACAAAAAATTATATGGCATTCTTATCAGAATGTATTCTAATATAATTTACTGAGTTTCTGAAAGTTTTGAAAAAAAGATAATAAGTAATTTACTAAAGTTAAACGTAACTTTATTTGTAAAAAAAGTGAAGCCAGCTTCCAATGATAAGTGTATGATTTAATATTATAGTATAAATTATTTGATATCATAAAGTAATTTATCTTACACTGTAAAAAATACTTGATAATGAAAACTCTGACAACTGAAAACTTTGACAAAACTTGGAAAACAAACTAAACTTTGATAACTTAATTTTGTAAAAAGCGAGCACACAAAACAAATCACAAACATCACTAATATCAGTTATAATAATCCCAACCGGGACCTCGGCACAATTAACTTCCATTGAACAGCGACGACACTTTAGTGTTATCAATTTTGTGGTTGAAAAGTTCAATCTCCTCATTTCTCTTGTTTAGGAACCTTTCAACAATATCATCAAACAGTGGGTGTTCCATCTTCTTTCCTTCCATCATGGAAACGTAATGAGAGCCATTATAAAACCACCCTTCTGGAAGTTTCTCTCTCGCTGCTTCCAACTTTAGCATTTCCTTTTCTTTTGAACTCAAAGAAAATTTAGTGTATTTTTCTTTTTTTACGGGAGGTTTCGGAGCGCAGCCTTGTAACCACTGCTTCACCTGCTCTTCAGTTATTTTGTAGCCAGTGAAAATGAAACAATTCTTGCTGCCAGGAGGCAGGGGCTTGTTGAAAGTATTGAGAGAAATAGTTTCACTTCTTGGAGTACACTCCAGGGTGTAAAGGTTGTTATCCTCCGTAAACTTAGCTCTGCCTCCAACATAGAATATAGAGCCGGACATCATCAACCTATCAACATACACTCGTCCCTCCTTCTGGTGGAGACTCTTCAGATGGGACATGAAGCGAGCTTTACAGAGATCAGCTCCGAACGACACTGTCAGATATGTAATGGGAATGAAGGGAGGATTTGGTTTGTATTGTAAGGAATACCATCCTGGAGCAGTAAAATGTCTTGAAATTGGCAGGGTAGATTTAGCAAATGCATAAACTGTACACATTTCTACAAGGCTATCTTTGTCTATGTAGTTGTTTCCCACAACCTCAATAATGCTGCACGAAGGGTTCAGGGTCTTCAAGAAACTAATTCTCTCATCTTTACCTTTCTGTTTGGAAGGACTACAACCGGTAACAATGATGTTGTTAACCCATCCCTCGCTACACTGCTCAATTATTTTTGGGAAACATGTTCGGTTGCTTATAAACAGATTTCGTAAGTCAATGCAAGTGCTGACGGAGGCAACATGACACGATTGCCTGGTAAACTTATCAGGATGATGGACAATAGCAGCAACCACCTCAGGTACTTCAACATAAGCAGAAACAATGACAATAACTCGAATCGGATCATTTCCCCTCTTGCTCAGCATCTGTAGAGCTTTTTGCATGTTGTGAGCACTGAACAGCTCTTCAGAACCAAGTGGTTGTCTCAGTACAATGAAATGGTGGTCTTCTTTAGTTCCTTCTGTTACTATGGAGCAGATTTTCTCTTGGTTGCTACCAGGTATTCCAACGAGCAATGTGATGAAGATGAATGGTTCTGCTGTTTCAGATTTCATTGCTGGATTGACATCAAGTTGGTTGTAGGTGAAATTCCCCAGAGAACTTAGCATCATGTGGGGTGCAAATGCCGGGTATGTGGGATAGGAAGACTCGATCATCCTGCCCTCATCTGAAGTTCCCAAGTTGCCAACATCACTAGTTTTAACAGTCACAATATTTTCGTATCTCAGCAGGAAATCTGGAGGTAAATTTTCTGCAGACTCTGGTATATTGTACTCCCTAAACAAAGGCAGCAAAGTGTCATTTGTGAACCTCACACCTTTCCCTCGTTGCCAGAACACCAAGCAGAACCTCTTCAGGAATGGAGGTAAGCAATTAGAGGCATGTTCAAGGTAAAGTGCAACAGCGATTGATCCAGTTTTCTTTACTCTTATCTCCTTCAAGTCGTTTATTCTGATTTGAAGAAGTGTAGAATAAGGTGATGTTATGTTGATGGTGTTGTCCTCCAATCTGAACATAGCTTCATAAGTGTTAACATCGTTGCACAGCAGAGAGCACGGTACAGAGTCTGCATTTTGTGCTCCAAAATGGTTCCATTGCACATAGGTAGGAATAACGTCTGTAACGATCAGCAGCTCAGAGTCATCAGCAGAGACGTCATCATTTTTCACGATAATGTGAGACTCAAAGAATGTGTCTTGAAATACCAATGGTTTGTAGACAACTTTAGTATTTTGCAAACTAGCAATATTTGAAACAGCTGCTCCAAACACCTTCATGCTTGACTTTGAGTTTGAACTCACTTTATTTCCTTTAACATCAAAAGCTTCTAGACTCACTTCAATCTTTACAGAGCTTGCTTTGAAATTTACAAGCTGAGGATATTTGTAAGTACTGAGCTTTTCAGTGAACTTCTTTGTGAAGTATTGAAGTAGCTTTGAGGAGTTTTGTGTGGTTAAAAAGCGTTGAATAGTTCTTTGTGTAGTGGCAGCCATGGCATCATATATTGATGAAAGGAGGACCAAATCACTGGAGTCAACGTTGTCGTGTATGAAGTAAGTTCTTCCACAGCTTAGCGAACTTGGAGATTCTATAACAGAGCAAGTAATGAAGAAGGGTTTTCTAGTAACCGCATGTTTTTCCAATCCAAAAACTGTGGCACCATGAGCATGACTATCACTTGTTTGGTTGCCATGCTCTAGATAGCTCACAACAGGATCAATAGCCTTATCCAAACTGTTATCTAGAGTTTCACTTTTTATCATATTGGACACATTCATTATCATAGTATTCCACTGGAAATTTAACAAGATGCTTGTATCTTTCAGCAGATGTTTTAGAGATCCTAGATCAAAGTCACAGAACACGGAGAGCTTTTCAAAGTTGAGTGGTATTAGCGAATGAGTAAGTCCGAAAAATCCTTGTGAGCCATAGTCTTCGAGAGCGTATGCTTGAAGTAATGGCCATTTTTCAATAACCATTGGGTCGAACTCATTAGAGTCATTGGAGTACGGAATGGCAATTTTATTGACACCTTGAGTCATGGAGATAAAGGAGTAAATTTTATGGTCCTCAACTATGTTCTCATCGCTAGAGATGTTGGCATCAAGGCAGTGAATTTGAAGATCATGAACTTTGGCTAGATAGGGAAGGATGCTTTTCATGTCTTTGTGAGTGACATAAAGCTCGACTTTAGACGGCTTAATGAGCATCACAATTTCATCTGTATCAATTTCAAAGTATTTGCTGAAGCTCCCTGATTTATACATGGAGCAGCCAAATAAGATGAAATTAATGAAATGCCTACAGTCAGGACTGTAACGACTGTCAATTCCATTGATAGCAACAAAACCATCAATATTGTTATCAACCAGATATCTTTGAATTTTGTTGATTCTCAACAAGCACAATGTTGACGCATCTTTCACACATGTCTTTTTCTCAGTTTGAAATGGTTGAGATATACTTCCAATGACAACCATCACCTAAAAAGAAATAATGTAAAATAAATGAAATAGTTCAACTCAATTATAAAATTTCGCAATACATTAGAGTTAAATAGGATACAAGGATACAAGGATACAAGGATACAAAAGTGATAATTACTTTATTGAGTACACAATAGTTGTAATTCTGAAATAATTTAAGTTACACAATTCTAATTATTTACAAGTGTGTAGGGATAATTTAGAAATGTTATATAATGCTAGTTTTAGAAAAATAGATAAATCGAGTTTGTATGGTTCAATCTTATTTTAAGGTCCTATAGCATTATGCACTTGCCAGTATTTGAGTGGAAATCTGGGCTCTTATAGTAGGCTGTATAATTTTCGTTCACAGAGAGAATTGAATGGATTGCTCTTGCTGTGGCAGTGAGTGTGGTAGGATCTAGAGTTTTGTTGGAGAGCAAACCGACTAGGTCAGTAATGTTTAGGGGATGGAAATTGAATTTTTCCCTAACTGAGGAGTAGAGCAAACAGTCAATCAATACGTGACTTTCGTCCTCAATAGGCTTGAGCCCTTTGCTGAAAAAGCAGTAGGTGCACCAACGTTCTTCTCTTGGTACAAGGGGGGTTTCGTATCTGCCCCTTTCGATGTAGAGGTTGTGGCAGCTGATACGAAACCTTGTCAGACTTTTTCGAACATCCGGTATTTTGATAATTCGTAGGTATGCCTCTGGTTCGAAATCATGTTTAATTAAGTTATAGAATTCTAGTTTTGGCGAGGAGGCCTTGGCAGCTTTCCAGGTATTCACGAATTCTTCCCTCATGTTATGACTGATTTGGGTGGAGAGCTTAGATTTTGAGGAAGATGAGGGGGTGAAGTTGTATTTGGTGAGAAGCTTTGAGATGTTGGTATACCAAGGAAGTCCCAACATGATTTGTTCGTGAAATGCAGCACAGAGTAGTTCGTTTTCAGTGTTTTCAAGGCGACTATAGTAATCTATTGCAAGTTTGCAGGCTTCAAAGAATAGAGGGTGGCGCCCGCTTTCGCCCCAGCAACCTATATTTGATGCTTTTGAATGTACAGACAAAGACCACTTGATAAACTTTAGGTGGAATTTTTCATAGTGGTCTTGTGCAATGTACTTCAAGGTATGCTGGGGGTTGGCTTTGTCATCTATTTTTGAAAGGTATCTCATGGTTTTTGAGTGGGGGCATAAGACTTGACAGCCATAAAGCAGGATTGGTTTTATTAAGGAGTCAAATAGAATATTAAGGGCACGGTGTGAGAGGGCATCCTTAACTATTTTGCCTTTGAGGCCATAGAGAGCACGGAGAGCCTTGGCCCTCAGCTCAGTATTTGCTGCTGTAAACGATCCATTTCTGTGGAATATTATGCCAAGATAGCAGTATTTATCGGTGTGCTGGATGGGCTGACCTCCCAATGTGAATGTTTCATAGGACTGCTTTCGTTTGGGAGGGCTGAATATTACAATCTTAGTTTTCTTAATATTTACTTCAAGGCCCATAGTCAATGAAACAATAAGTTCCCCAAGACACCCTAACATCCAAGCCTTCTATAAAACGTGGCAACTCCAAATCTTAACAGTGAGTGATAAAACAGTTCAGTTAATATTGCTTTAAGGCCTAAAGTACAATGCACCCAATAATACAATTCAAAACCTTCCATCTCAAATTCATATACCTTAGGTGCAAAAAATTTAATGCCGAAAAATTTCAGCTAAACTCAAAACGCGGACGAAATTTTCCGGCATTAAATTTTTCGTCGACGAAATTTTTTAACGACGAAATATTTGGGACGCCTACTTTTTTGGTATTTTTTGCATCATTAAATTTTGAAAGTTAAAATTGAGTACATACGAATTAATTCAACTTCAGTTAATAATCTAATTTTGAATGATTCATATTTCATACAGTATAAGAATTGAAACATTTCATACCAAAATGATCATAATATCGTAATACTAATATCATAACATTTCTCGCCATCTAATTCTACATTAAATCCGCGAATGGATCCAGTTCACTGACAAAGTTTTCAGAGGCGGCATCGGTTATTCCTGCTTTGGAAAACCCTTTAATTATGTCGTCTTCTCTAGTTGATAGAAAGTTGTAGGTGTCTATGATCCATTCTGCGTGGAGCTTCTTTATCTTGGAAATCCTTGTATCGACGTCAATGTTGTCCTGATTAATACCAGCAGCTAGCTGTGTAGTAATACAGGTCGCGTAATACTTCTCATACTGGTCTCTCATGTGGCTCTTTACTAAACCATTAATCGAAACGTCCAATGGTTGAAAAATATGCGTCAAATTTGGAGGCACCTTTTGGACGATCATATTGAGAGATTCATACAGTGTTAACACTTCCTGAGTCTGCTGCCCCCTGAATACGTCCGATATTATTAGGCTCTTCTGTTCAGGAGGCAATCCGAGCTCTTGTTTCGTCTTCTCGATATAAGGAGCCAGTATCTTCAATACGTAATCTTTTGAAGTGTTCTCGTTGGACCAGTGGTTTGGAGTCATAGTCAGATGAAAGCCAGTGGGAAACTGAACCCCTTTCGGCAGACAGCGGTTCGTCTTTCCCTCATAAATAAGTTGAAATGGCAACAACTTCCCCGAAAGTGTGACCGCAAGATTTCCCGTGATTTGACGCTTGTCTGAACTTCCTGCTATCGGGACTATTGATGATCCCCGCGGAGCCATGGTTCTGCTGCTGACGCTTACGTACTTAAGAGGTGTTTGATCGTGGTTAATGATCAAATCTTCGGGGATTTTATGCTCTTTAACGATTTTATTGATATCACACTGGAAGCAAAGTTTTACTTCGGATAAGACACCCTCTGGCACAGGAAGTCGGGCTGTTGTGGCTACTCTTTTTACGAGCTTGACTTTCTTCCTCCTCTCATAATGATAGAGAATTTGCCTAGAGGACTCGTATGCCACTTCGTAATTAGAGTTGGGCTGTAGTTGTTTGAGAACCCCTTTCAAAACACCTCTGATGACACAACCTTTAACGATGGCCCCTCGCAACCGCAGGACATCCAAGATCTCTAGCACTTTATCAATTACAGTATCTGGAATGAGCGTTGGACGGCCTCTTTTCTTGGTTTCTAATTCATTTACAATCAGGTCTCTCTCAATACTGCTCAGTTTGTCGATCATCAACTTCTTGAAGGTCTGAGCAGTCTGACGGGTTAAGCTGGGATGTTGCTTCTTAAAGTGCTTCGCTGCGGCAACAGCACCATGTACCCTCGCGTAGTTTCCTATATCTGCTCTATCTTTAGCCGTCCACTTGTTATACTTTCCTTTCTGCTCAGCTTTCGCTATTTCCTTGTTTACAGCGGCTACGAACTGGGGTGTATTTGCAGGTAAATCATTCGAATCCAGGTTTACAGGGACACCGAAGTAAGTAAGTAAGTAAGTAAAGATTATGACATAACATCATCACAAGTGTCTACAAAATATCATTGCACTAAATAAAAAAATAATTTAAATAAATATATTTTTCCATCAACATTAATAATTTATCAAATTCAATTTTATTAATTAATAAAATCTAATACATTATCTATAAATAATTCATTAATACTTCCCAGTGGAATAAAGATTTATGAAACGCTTCTTTGCCACAAAAGGATGAAACCAAAGATATTCATTATGTGTCTCCTTATTGCTTAAATAACTGGGTCCTTCAATTTTCCCTAAAACTTCATTCGAAACATTCCAAAAATAAAAATCATTTACACTGTTTTTAGAAATCATTTCTTTCTTAAATTCTTCCAATCTAACTTTAAAGCTTAAAACTGTCAAGCAGTTCTTGACATCTGAAGGGAGTTTGTTCCAGTAAGGAATGACTCGCTCCGGAAGAAAAGAGGACTGGAGATTCTTAACTTTAGTTACACTCTTATTACACCTATTGGTTGAAACTAGATTAAGACCAGATCTGCTCATTCTGAACAAACCCGATCCATATTCAGTCAAACCACTAGTTACTTTAAAAGCTTCGATAAGGTCCCCACGTATTCGCCCCACGTATTCACCGAAGAAGTGACGAATATCGGTTCGTGGCATCGAAGACATACTGCAGCGGTTACAAACTGTGATGTTTCCTGCAACTGCACACCAACGTATACAACAGAACAAGGGTAGAACTACACTCAAAGAGAAGGGAGCCCGATTCGATACTTTCTTTTACAATCCAAGATATTTGTGAACGTGATTGAGATACCCGTCTTGATGTTTGAGATCAGGGATCATTGCTGAGACTTTTGTCTGCATAAAAAACGCTAAAATTCCAGAGAAAGTGTGAAGCTGCATGATCAAGCTTAATGGCCAGGTTCCAAATAAAAATGTACGTACAAATGAGACTAATATAAGATTTCTGTAATCTGATTTCTATGCGAGTACTGGCTTCTTCCTAATTAACCGGAGCTCACAATTCCGCCTTTTCACACTAGCAATTGTTTACGTTCAAGTTCATGTCAGTAGAAGCTGTTTTTAAAACTGTTATAGCCAGTCGTGGCTTTCATGTTTACATGAAATCGACATGGCCGAAGCCGGATCTTAGCGACAAGCTCAAAGTTCAACTGGATAAAGATAACAATGACGACCCTTTTGCGGTAGCTGTTATTAAGATCAATAACACGAAAGATAAATCAGCAGCTGGAGAAGTGGTGGGACACCTTCCGAGAGAAATAAGCAGGCATGTTCATTTCTTCATAAAGTTAGGCGGGAAAGTCGATGTCTCTGTTTATGATGTTAAATTACATAAAAGTTTGACAGCCTTGAAAGGTCTTGAAATACTACTGAATGCGTCGTTCAGAATCTCTGGGGCGAAAAAATTCGCAGTACTCGAGAGGCTTAAAGATCACATAGAGAGCAACTATAAAACACCTGTTAGAATTGTTGGAGTAGAAGAGGACGCAGCAAACAACTCTTCGGATAAAGCTGATGAAATGGAGGCAGGAGCGAAGGTAGACAGCAATTCTTCCAACAACGCTACAGTATCAGGAGCAGAAGCAGTGAGCAGTTCTTTGGACAAAGCTATTAATGAAGGAGTAGTCAGAAATTCCCCGGACAAAGTTGATAAGGTTGTCTACTACCAAATTTCTGACGATATAAGTAGCTCCGACTGTTCTGATTTAGAAGTAATTTTTGATTAATTTATTTTGAAATATATGTTTTATTGGTTTCCTAAATGTCTAAATTTGACAAAAATAGGACGAAATATTTCGCAGACGAAAAGTTTTGTGAGCAATTGACGAAATTTTTCGGACGAAATATTTCGGAATAGTTTTTTTCGCGACGAAATTTTTTACACCTAAGGTAGTCACAGTTTATGTTTATACTAGTCGTGAGCATTGAATTCTGATTTATTAAATCCTGCACAGAGAAGGTGGTACTTCTTCTTCTACAGTCCCTAGTTTTTGGATGCTGGAGCGAATTAGCATACATCCACAAAATAACAAAAATGACCACTTTTGCAACACTTTCTAGTATCGAATCCGTAACTCACACATTGCACTATGCCAATTTGTTTAGTTACAGTATGCCAACAATTTCCGTAACAAAGAAACAGTAAACAATTAAAAGAACTTAGTTAGATCTTGAGCCAATCAATGAAACAAGAAATAAATGAAACAAGAAATTTAATTTTAGCACATTTTACAGAATAAAAAGATGTAAAACAATTCATAAAATATAATGCCCATTTGGTGTATGACTTTTTGTCCTTGACTGCTAGTTTGGGTTTGGAAGGACAGGTAACTAACGGGGCAAGGAATGCGCGTGCCTGAGAGCTTTTGCACACACCGAAACGCTAGTTCAGTTAGGTTTTTAGAGACAAGGCTCATATTAGGACTAAAAGCCAATCGAAACAGGTGATATTTTGTCTCATTTCTTATTTCAGCTGAACACAATCAATATATGATTTTTGAAGGTTTCTGTTAGTACATCGTATCATTTATATTTTTGAAGAACCACCCTCCAGTATGTAGTTTCGTATCAAGTGAGATTATCAAGTTAAGAAAAATTTTGTTTTTCTTAACTTGTAAGGCTCGTTAGTCCGTGTGCCACGTGGCACCTATTCACCCTATCTATTACCTTTCGGTCATAATTCCGGTTGAGAACCAATACTGTGTCTGAACTAAACGTACATAAGCTGTTGACCTAATCTTAGATGGCACTGTGGAAGGGATACAACAAAATTAGAGATTAAAAAATTGATTTTGTCCAGCCATAAGGTCAGAAACCCTCAACAATAGTCATATAAAAACCAATTCAGTAGAGTACTATATTAATTGCAGCACACTACAATGTAAATATACTGAAGGGGTACCCTTTTTGATCTTTTGGCAGGGTCTCTCAATCACGTATCAGATCATTCAGCTGAGTCGGTCGTTGAGACATTAAACAAATGTTCAATTTCGCATAGATCCAATGGATCCTTATTAGCTACTCCCTAAAACATACATATAAACTAGACGACACTGGGATTCAAATCCTTGATGCAAGTTTGCATGAATTGGAAATATCGTCAAAAAGGCAATTCAATTTTCATATACCAAAGTTTAAAACAGCGCTCGATTTTCACAGGTGGTAAAATACGTTATGCGCGGCGCTTTCAAAATTTTATCAACAAATTGATTTCGAATAGTTACTATTTATAGATTAAATTTATTTTATGCGAAATTAATTTTTCATTTTTAGCTTGTTTGTTTTTGGACAATTTATCATTCCGCCATATTCAAAGCTAAAGAGTTTTTACTGGGCCGCGCTCAGCCTGTCATTCCGCCTAATCTCTATTCGGGCTGAGTGAAATAAGACCTCCATCGCACTGAAAAAAAGTGCGAATGCTCATTGGAAGTTAGTCTGCGCGTGACCAACATCCACGTGACCGTTAAGAACTAATTGTTGCCTCGGAAAAAAACACGTGCACGCTAACTACCAATTGGAGAAAAGTGACATATACGCTACAGGAGCCGCGCGCTGACTTAGTTTGTAAAATTTTGTTATTGAGTTTAAAATCGAGCGATGCGAGGCCGAGTGTGCTGGTCACTGCACCTCGTGTTGACACACTGTAAAGCTTGATATATATTCTGTAAGTGTTACTCTCTTCAGTTGTTTGTTGTTCCTCCAGATTTTATTTTTACTTAATTTGATGTTCGTACCAGATATGCTACAATTGTCCAGTTGTTTATATCTATAGCTGCCCTACAATGATTTCGTTTAAAGACGGAAAGATATTTAGTGCCTTACTTGAAATTAGAATTTCATCGTCCTCCGTATTTGAACTCCACTTCCGAGAACTGGTAAAATTATTTCTCCTACTATAAATTGCATCTTCAAATAATACAATACTGTAAAGGTTTATTACAGTTACTAGGCCGCGCTCAGCCTGTCATTCCGCCTAATCTCTATGTTTATGAACATAATAGCCTGAGGTCCCCAGGTAAAAGAGTTTTTAATATTTAAGTTTTAGTTACCGAAGTAATTTGTAATTTTTGATGTTTTAAGATAAAGTTGCAAAAAAATTTATAAATATTCTAACAATCTGGTTAAATCAAATTTTCAATTTGATTAAATGATTTAAAATACTAATGTAAAAAAAAGGCAATTTTTAGAGAAAAGACAATTCCTTCGACTTTACTGGGCCGCGCTCAGCCTGTCATTCCGCCGAATCTCTATTCTATGTTTATGAACATAATAGCCTGAGGTCC